CAACCTCCCCCGAAGCGCTCGGGCTGGGGCACGGCGGTGCAGAGCTGGGAAAGGACCCGCTGACAGCGGCTGGACAGCAGCAGGAATTCCTCCATGGAAAGGGAGCTCAGGCCTTGGAACTGCCCAGGGAGGTTTGGAGTGCCCATCCCTGGAGTGGCCAGGGAAGGGCTGGAGGTGGCACTGGGGCCAGGGTGGGCTCGGGCACAGCTGGGACTCGATGATCCTGGGGTTTTGGCCAGGCTCGGTGCTCCAGGGACTCTGTGGGATGTGTGAGCCGCGGCTTGTGCAGCCCAGCCCGGGCTGGCAGCAGGAGCCCCTCGGGCCGGCCCTGGCGCCACAGAACGCGCACGGAACGAGCCCGGCCAGGGCAGGAACCGGGAATTGCGGTGGGAGGAAGGAAGGAAGGCAAGGCACGCTCCGGCCCAGGAGCCAGAGGACATGGACACAGGGATTCCCTGCCCCACTGGACAGCAAGGTGACCGCAGCGGGGGAGACCCGTGCGACGGCTGCAGGAATAGAGGAGCTGACAAAGGCCAGGTGTGGATGTGAGAGTGAACACACTCCGCATGTAAAACCAAACCTCTCGACGACAAACAAAGGAACGGAAAGAAACCACAGCTGGGGGAGGTAGAGAGGAAACCCAGCTCTGAGCTACCCCAGCAACCTCAACAGCATCCAGACCTGGCTGTGCACAGGTCACTTGTCACTGAACAGAGCTGCCCTTTCACACTGGCGCTGCATCTTTTTTCCAAAGTGTCTGATTTGTTACAAGGAAATGGGGCAAAATATGAAAAATGCCTACACGGGAAAAAAATAAATAAATAAAGGACTTATTATGCACAGACAGACAACCAGACAATAATCTGTCTGCAGCTTGTATTTTAGAGTAGTTCAGATCTTTGTTTTCCAATTATTGTAACAGAAACTGTAGAATGAATAAATCCAAACCAAGTATCACAACTCAGTGGTCCATCCAGACTTCTGGATGCTGACATTGGACAAAATCCTCTAGCCACAATCTTTCAGTTCCCTTCCTCAGTCTGCAGAATTCATGGATCTTTTAAATGTTACTCAAATCAAGATGGGAATTCATTACTGATTCTAAAAAGAGGAAAATTCCTCCTTGTTGCAAAGATAAGTATCCACACCCCAAGTTAACACAATTACACAAAAGCACCTTAATAGTTTACTTACTCATGAGACTCTTGTGAGAATCGAGTTTAGCTTTAAATTTCACACACCAAAACAACTTTTTCTTTGGCTATTGACATTTTTGCTCTGTTTGTTGAATAATATAATCAACCCAATGGGTCTTTTCAGAGAGAAACACAAATGAGACCAACCAATGCTTCCAGTACCAGAACAAAAATAATCAGAAATGGCAATTTCAGAGCCTGGCCTCTCAAAATTACCTGTACTGAGCACAATGTTTACAGTCACTCTCCAGATGAAGTGATGTAGGTAAAGATACCCAAATGTTTCCCACAATTAGGTAATGAGGGCTCTTAGATATTTCTAACAATAATAAAAACAGCTGTCCTACTACAGATGAATATGCAAAAAAGTGGTTTTCAACAACACTTTATTGAAGCACTTCAAAATTATCACAATGATAGATGTTGCCTTTAACAGAATAAAACCTGTCATGTCATAATTAAAAGGCACTAATCCTGGCACAAAGGTCTACTTACCCACCTTCCACTGGGAGGGAAATAAAAACATCAAGTATTTCACTTCTCCTTTTAAAGAGCATGTGCAAAGCCCCTCTGAGTGCCATTCTGTGTTTGCCATGAGAAAACCCTTCTGTTTCACCAAGACACACGGGAACATGCAGCAGCTGCCTAAAAAGCAGCAGAGCACTCTCTGAAGGGTCATGGTCTGGTGAGACAAGTTGTTCTGCACTCATGTTTTGGGAACTAAAGCCCTGAAGCTCAGGCACTCACACATTGCTTCTCCTTTAATGTGATTCACTGTCCATGTCAGCTTAGAAACAGCTAAATATTCTGCTTTCCACCCCTTTTTGGGATCCACACTCGTCAGGGTCAGTGCAGGAGCAAGGCAGGGGAGCAGTGCTGGGCATGCTGGGGGAGCACAGTTCCTGCACAAAGCAAACCAGGACGTGCCATTGCACAGCCACGGCCACGACAAAGGAAACCTCAGGGAAGTTAAAAGCTTGATAATCCTGCTAAGCCATACCTCAGCTTATTACAGATCCCTGCACAACGTTCTGAGATTCAACAGAGAGACTGTTTAAGGCATTTTCTTTGGCCTTTACTTCTACCAGAAAGTGAAGATTATGCAGTTTGATATCAGCACCCAAAATCTTTCCAACCTGTTTCCATCAAGATGCAAAGAGAAAACATAAATCATTGAGAAACTGAACAATTGGTTCCACAGATCATGGCACAGCTCCACATTTGTGCAGCTTTCCTGTTGCCAAGTGGTGGGACAGAGCTGCTCTGTGCAGCTGCCCAGCCCCTCAGCTGTCCCTGGCTGATGGGAACTCCCCTGCTCTCTAACTGCACTTGGAGGAGCTCCATCCACGCTGACCAGGACAGGGACACTGCAAGGAAAACTCTGCCACAGCCCTTCCTCATCTCATCACTGCTGCTGCAGGAGCACCTGCACAGAACAGAGCCACCAGGGACTGAGCTGATTTAAAGCCCAGGACAGCACACAATGCCCACACCCACCAGGTCACAGAGGCAGGATTGCTGTCCAGCTTCCAGGTACTCGCCAGCACGAGTTCTCTCGGGCTCAGTGTCTGCCTTTTCACAAGAGCTGCTTTTCTTAATATGCCAACAACCAAGACCTGCATCGGAGGAGTTTCAGGACTATGGCCATTGATGTCAAATGCAGTAACTTACGAAACTAAAATGCATCCCAAAAGCAACTTTTGTGAAGAGAATGGGAAATTTAATCAGCCTCTTTTTACTGCCCATGCTCACTGCAGAGCCTGAGACAATTAACCATGGTGAAATTACATTTCTAGAACAGAGCTACAGTATCCAAGTTCAGCAAACACCACTGCTAATGCCTGAACTCCACACCTGTATTAGGCCAGAAAAGATTTAACCTTGGACATAATGTGCCAGATGAGTATTGTTTTCAGTCCAAGGCTGAAAAGGTGTTGAGAAAGAAACACTTCCTCCACTTCTTGTTTCAAAGGGAAGGTACCTGGCAAGTTACTCAAACCCAGAAACAGAACAAGTGCAGCCCTGTGCACTGGAATCCAACAGCCACTCTGAGGTCTCCTTCCTGCCACAGGAGCAACCGAGGGCATGTGGCAGAGCAGTACCAGAGAGCTGTGACACCCAGCTGGGGGCATTCTGGGGAGTATTGCAAATGTACCTTTTAGAGCACACAGGTGTTACAGGGGGCCTCTGTCTCTCCCTGCTATTTACACCTAGAAACAGAAACTGGTACTGAAATACCACATCAAGCAAAGAGCTGTGGGCCACTTCATACCACAGCTATCAAGCAAAGAGCTGTGGGCCACTTCATACCACAGCTAATTTACTCAGTGATTGGTACTAATATCACACCAGCCAGGCTGACAAGGCTTAGTGCACTAAGGCTTAGTGCACTAACACTGTTTTCAGATGTATGTCTAGAGACATTTTACTTTGACTATGAACTACAGGGAGCTTGTTCTGCATGCAGGAAACTCCCAAAGAAATATGCACACAATCTTTAACAGTTCACTAGTCCTTCCCATCTTTGGAACAGTCAGTGAAACTTTGGATTAAAATCATGGCAAAGATTTTGTTCAAGACCTTAGTCAACAAAAGCCTCGCTTTGCACTAAGATAAGAATCTTTCCGCTTTAATTGGCAGTGAATGATCAGGCACTGCAAGATCTGACACTTGTGCTAGAAAAACAAAGGTTTTACTCTAGGCTCCACACAAGAACCAAGTGTGCAGACACATGCATTTATCTCCTGAAAACAGCTCCAGAAGGCTGCCCCTACTTCAGACCCTGCAGCTGACCAGTGCATTTCACACACATAAAAAAGCCCTGAAATCTGCTCAGACTGACTATCTGAGCCTGCTCAGGTAAGGTGAGCAAGCCCCAGGCCTCAAAGGTAGTTTTGCGAGCATTTCATTGGAATAGTTGAACCACAGAATAGAAATCAGCTCAGTATTTACCAATCCTTCTTCCTCCACTGTAATCTCTGGCAGAGGAGACAGACATCCCATTGTGTTTTTCCATTTTGAGTTCAGCCACATCAACTCAAGTCAGGCAGTTAAGTGTCAATACAACCCTCAAAACATAAGTTTATTGAATAAAGCTGAAGAGCAGTAAACCAACATATGCATCCACCTAAATAAAAAAATTCACGTATTTACAAAGTTCAGTAATTGTATAAGTTGTTCACATGCAGAGAGTAATGCACAGGTTAACAATTGGTAGTGTTTGGATGCCATAAACGCTGAAAGCAGTGAAGTAGATAAACACCAAACACATCAAGTTTAGCTATAGGCCAGTTAACTAAACAGTGACCTGGTCCCCCACAAAGATTCACACATTCTAGTTTAGTTTCCTTATTATAGGCACAAGCAAATTTGCTAAATAAAAGTAACTGTAGCAGTTCTGGTGAACTCGGGACTACAGTAGCAAGTTAATACACCCTCTCCTCTACAGCACCAGAGTATGGATTACTTGCAATCATGCTTCAGAGAACTGAAAGGGGACAAAAAGTTAAAATGTAACTTCAGACTGAAGGCAGGCAGCGTGTAGTGTCTGTGCAGCAGTGCCAGAGCTGAGACAGGACAGTAAGGCCATGGCAGTCTGCATTAACACTGGCTTGTCAGAACCGAGGGCACTGAACGCTGCTCCCAGCCCGAGGCTCCCACGGGATGCAAACCACATGGAGGTGAGGAATCACACACAGTGTGAGGCAACACAAGCAGCTGCACCATGGATCTGCACACACGAGTAGCTACACTGACACTGCTGGATGAACAAACCAGTCTTAACAAAGCCGTCCCTTTAAATATGCTGAAGTCACTGAGAAAGTAGAGCTACGGAAACATTATAATCTTGAGTTTATACACGCTTCCCTAAGCTGCAGGAGCTAGTCAAGAGACAGGATCAATTCATTGGCTCTCTTGTGCTTTGACACAGCAAAACATTTCATTGCATCTGACAGGCTTTGCACATGGTTACATGGAGAAAGCAGGCGGGTCTAGAGTTGTCACAATAGCCCAGGTATTCCGTAGCACCAGGTGAAACTGTGCCCAGCCATTGCAGGAGCAGGAGAGACACTGACAGTTACACACAGATTGTGCTAAAGGTCAACAACTGCCTCGATACAAGAGCATCAGTAAATTGGGTGTCATGCAGCTGCTCAGAATGCGTGTTCTGGTTTCAGAGAGAGACCACGAGTATCTGGAGATAGAAAAATGTATTTGAACGAAGCCTGATGTTCCTAGCGATTTGTTTTCATGCTGGAATACTCCAATTTTTTAAAGTTTGACAGAACAGTCCATTCCCATCCCCCACATAAATGTTAAACAGAAGCAACAGAATGATTTGAAACAGATGACTTTCCTAATTCACCAAGAGAGTTTTCTTTTTCAAGTGACAGGATCTCAGCTGTAGATTAGTGATGCTGATCTATGCCTTGTGCTCCCCTCTGCAAACAGTTTCCATTTCTCTGCTTACGTACACACATCACATGCATTTGTGAGACCAATCAGTATCCCACAACTCACGCTTAAATGTTTTCTAACTACTGTATGTGGCATCTTACAGAATCTTAATGCTGTCAAGCATCAGCATCTTCAAGCCACTAAACACTAGAAATAAAACACTTGCTGAAAATCATATAAAAACCTGGCCCTGAAAAACCAGAACAGAGTGTACCATCGTAGTTAACATGGTAGAGATATTCTTTTAAAAAGCCCCCCCACAGCCCTCCCACCACAGATGGTTGTAAAATAAATATTTGTGCTGACTTTATCATGACAACTCTAGTTGTTTCGTGACAGAATAGGAATACAAGTCTTCAGCAGTGCACATGAGAAATGAACCGTGAAAGGCAGATTCTTGATACAGGATTTTTGGGTAGTATCTCATTATGGAGGGAAGTGGACAATTGAGATTATGGCCAACTGGTACTGGAGATTCCAGGAAGACTTCAGCTTCTTCTAGATTTTGAATGCTGAATAAGCCACTGAAGCGTGATATCTACAGGGAGAGAGAAGAGAAGTTCCACATGCAAGTGTCTGTGTTGGTACAAGTGGCAAGGCTTTGGCATTCCAGTGTCCCAAACACAGGACAGGAATATCCAAGCCCTTCTCCAGAGGATGGCCCAGGGCAGATGAACAGAATGTTTTAGGATGCTTGCTGCCCATGCTTTGATCCTGTAACAGCCCAGCATCCTTCAGGTAACAATGACAGGCACTGCCCCACACATCCTGGCTCCTCAGTTCTGTCCATCTCCAGCAAAAATATATTCCTTCATAGAACATTTCACTATGGCTCCAATAATTAGTTTTAGATCAGCACTGCTCTATTCAGCCAGTCTGCAGCTCCTCCCCTAATGAGAACAAAGCTGGTTTAGCTCTGTGGTACAAGGCATCATGCTCCTCCCTGCCTGGAAGAGGCTCTCCTAAGGAAGGGAAAGGCCCTGGCTCCCCTCTCCACAGCCTCAGTGATGCTCAGCTGAGCTGGGAGCGTTGTGTGGATCTCCACAGAAAGGACTCTGCTTCCATCCATCATGTCTGAACCTTTAACTGATGCTAAGGTGACAGGAAGCATCAGTTTTTTGGAAGCAACAACTGTTCTTCCACAGACTGTTCAGTTTTCCTAGAAAGAAGCTTTTTTTTTCCCTAGAGAAACATCCTGGTGTCCTTTAGAGCTTCTCCTGGGAGCATCACCCTGAAATTTCTTCATCAGCAAACTCCTGTTACCCTGGCAATGCACCAGTGTCAATCCCATGGCAGCCATGGAAGGCATCAGGAAAAGGTTGGAAAGTGCTGTTAAATTCTGTTTTTACTCAGCTGAGATGACTCAGTTTACTCACAAAGCTTATGGCAAATACCAGAAATTACACAGGACATGGTTTCTGCTTTGAACTCCACAAGTTCTACAGCATTTGATGTCTGTGCCAGAAAAAGGCACTGTTTGCCTGCAGGGAACGGGGACTGGCAGATGCCACAACACAAACTGCTCTGATAACACAGCAAGGGAAGGTGATTATTTCAAGGGAATGACTTGAGGAAAAACTTGCTGCAAGTACTTGGCATCTTCACCAAGTGAGGCAGAGGTGAGAGCACTTGACAGAAGTATAAAATCATTTAGGCCAAGTTCATGGACTGGTCAGCTCTTTCCTGCAAACTGACTGAAGAAAGGAGCAGATTTCACAGGGACTGGCATCTTTTGGTAACTACAACCCCTAAAACTTTAACACCAGTCAGGCTTCCTCCCCACCATCAGGAGTTATGCTGAATTTAACCAGTGCACTCATGCATTGGTCTTTGATTTGTTCCTGGTTTCCTGAAGACAGGAAGTTTAAGAGGTTACAATACCCCCAATCCATCCTCTGACAGCACTTCATAATTCTCAGTGTTTTGGGATAATAGTTACCTATATTATCTTTCTCTTTGCAAGAAATTGAGTAGCAGCAGATTTCTCTGTCCTGAATAGCAGCAAGGTTCCTAGGAAAGAGAGAAGATTTCAGCACACATTTCACTGACACAAGGACTCTTACTGACAATGTGAACTGTTCCTCTTCCCCTTTCAGCACACATTTCACTGACACAAGGACTCTTACTGACAATGTGAACTGTTCCTCTTCCCCTTCCCCACACAACTTGTTCTGTACAATATTCAGTTACCTGCTGTTGCTGGGTTTTCCACTCATAAATGTGAGCTTCCTGATCTAATAACAGTCCTATGCACATGAATTTATTGAGTAAAAGAAGATGTTTCTTAGCAAGGGTTAGACCTGAAATCCAGAGAAGGAAATGGTTGTGGCTTTGCTTAAAAAAAAACCTAAACAAACAGAAAAAAAAACCCCAACCAAAATCAGAAACCAAACAAACTTCAAGGGAGTCTTATGAGCAGTCTGCATCTGCCTATTAAGTCTAATGGAATGAGATATACACTGTTAAATCAGATCAAGAAAGACTGACCTAGTCACAGCAAAAGAGGGGGTACAAATAAACTGTTCTGTGCCAAGAGCAAGCAAGGGAATAGCTGAAAAATCTGTGAACATATGCAGCACACTCATCTGAGATCCCCCAAACTTACTCTACACTTCTGTACTACACTGTGGTTAACCTTTAGTCAATAGCACAAACTGATCCTGTGGAATGCTCTGAACTACTGTCTCAATTGTATTTATTATGTTTTGTGAGCACTGAATGAAATAAGACCACTGAAGGTCAAAACCTGGTTTATGGCACCAGGGGCAGATATTGTTCATGCTTACACTGACCAGTAAGGTTGGACCTCACAATTCAGAGTTCAAGGCAGACTTCAGAGTTGCTCAAGTGATGCACATTCCTCAGAGACATTTAACGGTGTTTAAGGTGATGTTACTTACGGGGATTCCTTGTAACTGGGGCTTATCTAGAAGGTTGTGCAGCTCATTTCGAGAGGCTTCTATTTTTTCACGATCTGCAGCATCTACCATGTAGCTTTAAAGAGAATTTCAGGTTAGGTCAGTGACACTGAGCTCCTGCAGAAACATCACTCTTTCCTTGAGCATTCAACAAGGCTTTCAACAAAGCTAGGACTTCTGAGCAAAGAATTTAGTTCTTTTAAAAAGAATTCTGCAAGAGCAGAGCAGAAGGAAGATGCTTTGAGTTAGCACTGCCACCCAGTTCAGACAGGGAGGAGTTAGTACTCCAGATCAGACACTGATAAAATAACCCATCCTGAGCCCTGAACTTAAGGGTGAAAAAGGTCAGTGTGGTTGCAGTGCAGGTTCAGAATCACAAGGAGAACTACAGAGTCAGGCATGCAGTGTTAGGAAGGCTCCCAGAGAAGAGAAGCACATGTGAAGGAAGCAGAGCTGAAGGAAGGACACTTACACAATAGCATTAACTCCTCTGCAATATCGCTCCCACATGCTTCGGAATCGGGGCTGCCCTCCTATATCCCAAATCTTAAGGCAAGGGGAGAAAGACAATTTAGCCATGCACTGTGTTTAAACATGTCAGGCAAAGATAAGACAAGAAATCACAACGGTTTTTCCTTTCTCCTTAAGCAGCTGCTTGACGTCTCCCGTGTTAAAACAGGAATAATCCCTTGCACAGCTGCTCAGAGCTTAGGGCCCAACAGCAGGAGATGTAAACTGGAGCATCTCACACCAGAGGCAAGAACATCCCGTGTATATAGTTACACACTGAGATACACATGAAAATACAATGTATTCACTTAAAGCTTTGCTTTTGATGTAAAGCTTCAGTAAAACAACCTGATGAGCAGGAAAGCAGCATCCCTGGGCCTCAAACACTCAGATTGAAGCCAGACAGCATTATCAAAACAGTGATTTAACTAGTCCATGAACCTGGGAATCACACACAGATTCTCATTTCAGAAACTCCATAAATAAACATAAATGCCTCCTTAAACTACTCAACAGATTTAGCTGAGCCTCTTCAGTTTTCTATATTTGCCTCATGGCTGGAAGCAAAACAGAGCAAACACGTGAATTTCAAACTAGAAGCTAAAGAAAACAGTCAACAATGGCAACATACCTTTATTGTAACATTACCCTTTGTAACTTTCCTCATGTTGAAGCCCACAGTAGGAATCATATCTTCACTGAATTGACCTGACTGGGAAAAAAAAGGAGAGAAAGCTAAATTTAGTGCTTATCTGACACCAGTGGTTTACATAGTAAAATATCACAAGCTTTTTCTAACCATTTGCCTTCCAGCTGAAGGTTTTACAGCCAAAAAGTCATGGGTGTTAAATCCATGTGTACTGGAGCTTGTGTGAAGTTGGACACCTCATTTCTTACAAGCACTGAAATAGTTTTTCAAGCCTTGAGGCAGCCAGGGGAGAAAAGTCACCTGGGAAAGTGCTTTGCACAGCTTAACAGCTGGACAGCCAGGGCAAGGGGAGGAAAAGAACCATTCACCTACTTCTGCTGGAGCCAAGGCCTGCATGCCGGGATCTCCCAGTTACCTGGGAGCCGGAAATATCCAGAAGGGATCCCTCTGATGCAAGCTGCTCTCTGGCCAGCAGTAGCAGTAATAAACCACTCCAGCCCACAGGTACGGGGTGACTCCCTGAGGAGCGTTAAAGGCTGTGAAGTGGAAGGACCTGACGGGTCAGCTCCCTGCCAGGCCACAGCGTCCAGCGTGTCCAGCAGTGCAAACACAGCTCCAGAGAATCCCAGCCCGCTTCCAGCAGCTGGGACAGAACTGCTGCAAACAGCACTGCACTGGAGAGCCTCTCCTGTGGCAGATGTTTTACTGTCTGTGACACTTCCATCTGCAGCAGCTTGAGAGCCAAGTTCCCAAACATCTCCTGCAGCCAGAACAAGAGTTTTCAACACTACTACAGATTTCTCCCTTGGCTGTTTGGCAGAAGGTGAATCAGCCACAGTGGCCATTATGAAGCTCACTACATCCATTATGTGTAATAGAACCAGACAGTCAAGCACATTTGGAAAAATTAGAGTTGATCCCAAAGCATTCATTTGTTTAATTAGGATTTGGTATCACAGCAGCAAAGTCTGCACCTCTCTCCTGACACTGCCCAGAGAAGTTCCCGTGCGTTCAAAGCTTTTTGGGATCTCTGCAGCAGACACACCACCCCAGAGTTAGGGCCTGACTGCAAGGAGCAGCTAAGCCTGACCAGGTGGCCATGAAGGCAAACAGGCTTGTGTCAGGAGCAGTGTGGCCAGCAGGACCAGGGCTGCACGAGGAGCTTGGGTCAGACCCTGCAGCACGGCTTCAGAAGCCACTCTACCCCTTCTAAGAGCAGGGTGGGTGCCAAATGGGAATGCCAGTCCAGGAACTTCCCATTCCTGCCCAAAATGTCAGGGCCTGAGCTGTCCATTGTGGCCAGAGCGATCAGCACAGCTCAGAGCTGATGGTCAGCTGTGTTGCCACGGCTGGGGCAGCTCAGTTCAGCTCCTCAAACCAATCTTGCCTCTGAAGGGTCACTTGCCACGTTGTTCAAGCACCACAGCATTCCTGCCTCCACATTCCTGCCTCCACAGTCACACCCCACACCCACAGCTCCTATCCCAGCGTCTCCCAAGCACTCCCTGAGCCTCCATCTCTGTGCTGCTGAGCCTTACCCCAGATGCTGCCAACTATTCCCACTCAGATCCTTCCAGATCCTTCTCTCGAGAGCTGTTCTTATCAATAGGAACACACATTCCAGGAACCTCCTGGACTCATCACCTCCCTGCTGGGTTTATTTCCAGCAGACATGTGGGAAGCTGAGGTCCCCCCATGAGAACAAGGCCTAGCCATGATGAGACTTCTCCCAGCAGCTTAAGGAGGATTTTGGTGCCTCTCCAGCCTGGGCTGGGTGGTCTAGAAGTGATTCCCACCAAGATATCTGCTCTGTTGGCCTTCCCCCTGATTTTTCCCCATAAACAACCTTATCATGACCCTCATCAAGCTGTCCAAACACTCCCTGCCCTTCCCTGTGAGGAGTTTACAGCCCTCCCTTGCAGCACTCACTGTGCCAGTCATCCCACTAATTGCAGTGCGTTCAGTACCAATTTCATGTTCTCCCACTGCTCTTTTAGGATACAGATTCCTGCAGATTGGAGCAGCACTTCATTTGCCACATCTTTAATGTAATGTTGAAATTACTGTGACCCACCACAGGAAACTTGTACAGAATCTTCAGGAAAGCTGCTGTATCTTATTCCTTCCCAAGTGCTCACTACCCACGCTGCACATCCCCAAACTTGTTTTGACTTGCTTAAAAACCTCAAAACCTTAAAACTGCAGTCACTCAGTTGAGTTTCAGCTGCCTGCTCTCTGCTTTGCACAGGGACAATCCAGAGCTGCCACGAACATCTGGGTCAGCTCAGGTCTTCATTTGAAAGACCTTCCCCTGATGTGAGTGTGGGTGTTCCTCTGCTCACAGGCAGTGGACTGGAAAGGAAGGCTATTGGCAGTCACCTTCTCTTTTAAGACAGGTCAAAAATTGGTCAAAATGATTGTAAAGGATTTTAGCAGCAGACAGTGATCTCCTTTGATGGATTCTGCTACCACATTCAACTGTCTTGGCCCAGAAACAGTTCTCTAAACTCAGAATTTAGAGGGCTTTTGTTTACTACCTCCACAGAGGAAAAAAGCCAGGAATTCAGCTTCAACTTAGAGTATTCATATGCAAAAGCTACTCGAAGGAAAATACTTCTACCAGCAGTCATTTCATTTGAATCAGCCTTCCCTCCCAGAGCAGAGTACTCGGTGCTATCACTGTGTGCTCACAATAAGATTCTTTCTCCTTCTAAAACCCCAGCCTTAAAACAAGCTTGACAGGCACAGCAATATTTCCAATTCCCGATGGGAAGCCTTTGGCTGCTGTCACACACAGCAGCACTGCTCAAACACTGACCAAGGACAGCAGGAGTAGCTGCTGACAAATCCAGCAATGCTGTTTTCAGCAGTGGTGCCCAGCCCACGGGCAGACCCTGAACTCCCTGCAGGGCTCCTGGAAGGGCAGGAGCTGTTCCAGCAGGGATTTTGATGGAAGCCTCAGCCCAGAGGCCACGCAGACCACACAGCAGCAGCACAAACCGAAGGTCACCAAACAAAGCTAACTCCAACCCATGCAGGAGATAAGGGACAGGGAGACTAAACAAAGCCAGCTTCAGAGGCCACATGCACACAGAACCCACAGGACTAATCCTTCAGCCTTCTGCTTTAAGAGATGCTCCCTTCAAAGCTCCTGGAGAACCCAAACGTGAGATTTTAGTGCAGCATGAACACACTCACCCAGATGAGTACTTATGTTGGATAAGGATTATTCAGAGCAGCGAAACTGCATCCAGACTGAACTAAGGGACTTTATTCCATCAGTTTGGGATCAGTTTGGGTTCAGCTCACCTTGTATCAGCAGCAGCACCAAATCACAGACTGCAGCATTTCTGACAAGCCACCTACAGGTATAGTGCATCTCCCAGAGGAAAACTTAGGACAAGTGTTGAATCCCCTGACATTCCAGAAGTGTACAAAGGATGCAAATTTAATCCCTTTCATAATTGAACTAATATTACAACAACCTTATTAAACCTACCATTTCCAGCTGTTTGGAGTAAAAAAAATAAGCCAAACAAAACCACATTTGGGTTTCTTCATCTGTCTTTCCATAACCATAAGCTACAGCCAGAAACTCAAATTCCAGGGAGTTATGGAATGGTAGAGTGGTTTTAATTGGGAGGAACCTCAAAGCCCATCCAGTTCCACCTCCTGCCATGGGCAGGGCACCTTGCACTGCACCAGACTGCTCCAAGCCTTATCCAGCCTGGGACAACTCTTACCAGACTGTCAGCCCCCTAAGAAGCTCGATTTTGATTCCACAGCCTGCACAAGAACATTCTTGGTGTCATCAGAGAAGGTCAGGCCAGCCTTTAGTTTGCATCTCACAAAGCTGATGTGATTCACTACTGTTATAGGACCAATTTCTTCATACAGACTTCATTATTACACAGCAAAGATTGCTTTATCTTTAATCATAATACTTTTCATCCAGCTAGATGAGATCACAAACAAGCTTAACCAACTAGGAGACAACACCATTGGAGTATGGAATCCAGCCAGGGCACTCCCAATCCACCTGAACCAGAGTATTACATCAAACCCAGCTGCTCATCTCTAAAAATTTCTTTCTTTTCCCACTAAGAAAAAATGCTGCATGTCTCCAAAATGTCTTCTTAAAAAAAATATTTAAAAAGCAGTGCAATTTTAGCATTATATCAAGCTACCCCTACACTAAGCCTCCTCTGCAACACTCATAGCCTCAACCAAGTACTGCATCATAAATGGACAAATCAACTTTCTGTAGTCCAGCTTCCTTCTTTAGGATATACTTCAGTGTTCCAGCTACTTGTGATCATGATCAGAAGCCTGAACTCCAGATTAGAAGCTTCAATCCCTGGAATGCATCCCAACAACACTACCAGGAATGATTGCTGCAGAAACCAAAACAGTGGTGTGTGACGAGGAAAGGCATTTTTATTTCCCCAGCCCTGACTTTAATTGAATATTTAAAAGGACATGAACTGCTTAGCAAATATCTACCATAAAGAAGGCATATGTCTGTCTAGAAGTCAGTCATGTAAGAGCTCAGGACATTTCATGCTTCTGATAGTGAAGAAAGTGTCCTTATCCAGATTTTACCACTTAAAGCTCTGCCATTGCTTACAAAGTGCTCTACAGGAACTCAGCACCAAGATGGAAAAAGCAGATTCTGATTTCAGTCACCTGCTTTAGCCCACCTAGGGTACAGCAAGCAACGAAAGGGTCCGAGTCACCTCCTAGGAGCTTTATTAGCTAATGAACTGATGCAATGCATTTCAAGAGACTTCTGCCATTAAGAAACACTTCAGATTTTATCAGCCTTCTCCCTTAGCCACGTATGAAGTGACAAGACTCAGGATTTATGGCCTATTTGGGTGGTTCAAAAGGCATTAAAACAGCACTGAAGCTCTTTAGAGCAATATTTTCCTGCACTTCTGTGGTGTGGCTTCTTCAAGTCAAAGTTACTTATAACTTACACTCTTGTGACTTGTAAGTCACAAGAACAGAAGGAAGTTGCAGCTCCCAGCTGGCCAAACGAATCTTTCGTTGAGGGGCACTTCAGGAATTGCCTCTCTCTAGAAACCACAGTCTCATTCCAACACTTGCCAGATAGTCCAAAGTTAAAAAACCCAAACAAACTAATTCAGGCTCTGACACAAATCCTAAAAAGGGACCTTATTTACCCTTTCCCCACAAACAAGTTGAGTTCAGCTCTTGAACCTGGTAACTGTATCAGAAAAGTCCAACTTCCTCCCACTCCTCCAGAAGTCTGCTGCCTGTCAGGCTAATGAGCTTCAGTGTTGCAGAGCCAAACACCTGGATCAAGGATCAACCTACCAGGAACGAAGCAAAACTTGTACAGAAAGCCCAGGACATGCCACTGTTCCATGAGACAGGCTGAGGCTGCAGGAGTGCCCCATTCTCCAGCAGCACCTGCGGGGCTGGGAGCAGGCTCAGTTTACTTGAGTCGTGTTTCAGTTGCGTCAGGCGGCCGGAGCAGCCCCCTCGCCTCTCGTGCTCCCCACAGCAGCACAGCCACGGCTCCCAGCTCCAGCTGCCAGCCTGAGGGAAGGCCAGGAACGGCCACGAGCTGCAAACAGCACAGGATCCTGCAGAGTCTGTAAATAATGGGCATTTCCAGGGCTCGGATCAGGAGGTGACAGCTCCAGATGTGATCCCAGGATGACATGCAGTTTCTCTGAACAAGAGCCACAGGCCATCCACATTAGGGAAATTAGGACCAGGAAGAAATGATATCCTCCCTTGTGAGCAAGTTTACTCACGCACATGGAAAACTTGTGCTTAATATCTAATTAGAGACAGTGACTAATGCGGAGCCTTAGAAAAGCAGAAGCTGCATTAGCTGAATCCAGCTCTAACGAGATTTCACTGCTAATGTTGGGTTTTAAACCTTCTAATGAAAGCGATCACAGGAGGGTTTGGGTTGGAAGGGACATTCAAGACCATCCAGTGCCACCTCCTGTTATAGGCAGGGACACCTTCCATTGTCCCAGGCTGCTCCAAGCCCTGTCCAAGCTGCCTTGGACACTTCCAGGGATGGGGCAGCCACAGCTTCTCTGAGCTCCTGTGCCAGGGCCTCACCACCCCCACAGGGAAGGATTTATCCCCAATATCTAATCTAACCTCTCCATCTCTCAGTTCAAAGCCATTCCCTCTTGTCCTCTGACTCTCCAGGCCCTTGTTTAGTCTGATTACAAATCAAGTGTTTGTTTACACTGGAGGAATAAACGTGGTCAAAACCTGCTACCAATCTAGAAGAGGATTATTCTAGAACTGGACTGTCTGCCTCTCGTGGCCTGTCCACTTCAGCAGCAGTCAGGCCTTGTACCAAGCTTCCCTGTGTGATTGGTTGAGTTTTCCCTCTAGTTCCTGACTTGATGGCTAGAGATAACATTAGAGATTTATACTGGATTAAACCCACTGTTGTCAAGACTGGCCACAGCCCTTTTATAAAGCAGCACACAGCCTTCTAAGCCACACCAAGTTCCTGGTGTGCACTCCAGCTTTTAGAGCTATCCTACAGGACATCTTGCTGTGTCATTCCTTTCATTTCAGTTTTGAGGAATCCCAACAGTCCCATCCACCCAAACCATTAACTGGCCTGCAGAGAGCTGTTGTTCTTTTCCTGCACTCATTCCCAAATGCAGGCTCTGAACTAAAGTCAGTCAAGGAAGCAAATAAGAAATCAGCTCTGCATGCCATGGACTGCGCTTCTCTAAAAAGAGATTTTGCACTGGTAACTGAAACTTATGCTATTATTTCGTTTAAACCAATAATACAAACCTGAGCAAACCCCCTCCCTCTGTTTTTTTTTGTGTAAAGATTCACTAGATTTCCTAATTAAAAACTTCAGAAATGTGACCTGATGCTTCCAAACTAAACCAGCTAAGGAGGCTGTGTCAGCACGCTCAACAGCTTCCTCCTTCCCGGGGTTTTGCAAGGCTCTTTGAATGGCACTCACTGAGATAAATGCCTGGGTGTGATCCTAACATGTGGTTGAAACCTTGCAAGATTCAACCCCCGCAGAGGAGGCTGGAAACAGACTCCAGCTTTACTTAGGGAAACTTCTCCCACTGGAGAAAACTTAGATGGACTCAACTGATGTGCAGCTCCTACAGCTGACTGCTGCACACACCTGCAGTGAGTTTCACAGGTAACTCCCAAAACACATGCTGCTGCTGCTATACAGATGCATTTTTTTGTCAGGTGCCATCACCAAGAGGATTCCAGAGGATGAAAAGCCTGCAGAGAGCTCCCAGCTGCAGAAACACTCCAAGCAGTATCAGTTCAGCAGCCACAGACTGAAGCTGTTCAATAATCTCAGACCTCCAGTTCTACAAATCCAAGCCCAGATGTACAGGCAGAGTGTGAAAGAAAAGGCTCACGGCATTCCTGGGTTACTCCAGCAACTTTCAGCTAACAACTAGTCAGAGAAGTTACCTTTCATGAAGTAACCCATTTTCCATGATTATCAGGAAGCCCACTGAGTGCTCACACCTGAGCTACACAGGGGTTTGGTTATGTTTTGCCAGGGTGTTTGTCAGTGTGCAAGGATGATGCATAATTGCAAGAGAACGAAAGTCCTTTTCCCAGCCAGTAACTCATTCAACTGGCACTTAAATAAATACATTCTCACACCTATTCCACGTGGTTAAGGACACAGCCTCAAAAAAAACAAGCTGAAGGTATGCTCACTCTAAAGCTGGAGACACCAGCCTTCTCATTCTAGGTGCACTGCACTCAGGTCACTCACGCTCCCTGAAAAACCTGGCTGCCCATTTCAGGAGCTCCCAAAGTCCAGCTTGTCTCCTGCAATGTTTTCCACCACATACATCAGCAGAGCAGGACACTGATGAAACTGAACACGCCATTTAGGCAAAGCCACTCTTTATCTCGTTCAACAATGGAAAAGCTTCGTGTAGGAGTATTCCCACACCCTTCCTTTACCTGCTCCAGGCACATCACCAGATCAGCAGGCCCGAGTGCAGCAGTTTGCTGCTGATGGGCTTGTGCTTGTGAGCTGCACTTCTTAGGTAAGTTGTACCTTAAGAGAAAGGAGATTATTTGATATGGGTTTTGGCAATCGATAAGCAAATATTTGAGAGGAGAACCGTGAGTGGGTGCTGACACTCAAATGATTTAGGACTACTGAAAAACAGTCGAAGGGAGGCGGCACTGAAGACACACAATGTTATCTCCACATCTGCTAACACGAGCCCCGCCACACCGACACCCCGACCGAAAGGCGCCTTCAGAGCCCGCTGTGGGGCCGTGCCCCGCTGTGGGATCAGCGACCCCGCGGGTCCCCCCAGCACACAGAGGTGCAGGGAGGCAGGGCAGCCGCCAGGGCTCGGCCATCCCACCCAGCGAAGGCTCCTCACACGCCGCT